TTCCTAGTCTGTCTTAATGTGAATGTTCAGATTAAGAGAAGTATTAGACAGACCAGCAAGTTAAAGGTATATCCCTTCTTGCGGAGTTAGATATTATAGTCCTCAAAGTAAAAAAGAAGTTATTCCTATTACACATTTGACAATTCTTTTTTTTCCCCTCAATGCAATTTACAGTGTAGTTTATTTGGTCTGAGGAAAAAAATGGTACCATCATTTGCAAGGCTGAACCATAGTTTATCCATGGAAGGTTCTGTGACCAATTTTTGGTTGTTGACATTTGACAATTCTTAAAGGATTTTTCCTTTTGGGGAAGCTTTATTACTGCATAGTGGAGTCCCTGATGGCAGCCATTTCAAGCATGACTCTTTTTTCCTCCCATTTTCTGGATGTGTACTGTTAAATTGGATTCAACTGACACAGGAAGAGATTAGATTGTTCCGCCTTCTCCTGCAGAACCTCTGGTGGCTTTGAACCATGTGCTTTTGGAATTGCAGTGCAGCTTCTTTGCCACTAGGCCACCAGAACCGTCTTAGCATGACTCTTTAGTAACCAAAGGCTATCATTTTCCAAGGGACTTAGTTATATTGGTCACCCAATGTTGACTGGAAGAGACCTGTTAAAATTCAGTTCCAAGCTAAATTATGTCCTTTAAATCTTTATCAATCAAGTTTTCTAGGTCTTCATTGATTCATAACAGTAAGGTAAAATGATCTAGAACATGCACAGTACCTCTTCTTTAGGCAGGGGCGCTGCTTTTTATTTCCATTCAAATTATCATCATTTTCCTTTGCCATGAACAGAATCAGAACCTGAAATCTCTAATACTAGGACAATGAGTTACTGACAAATCTATCTAGTGGAAATCTAACTTTTTACCATAGAATGCATATCAGTATTACAATCTTGTCATAGATTTTGTGCTATACACAGTATAACATTGTCTACAGCCAGAGACTTAGGAAATGCAACATAAATGAATGGAAAATCTACCTCCATAGGTGCAGCCAGATGGCACATTGATTTCACAGAACCCTAGAGTTTCACATACCGTCTTTCTCTTTTTAACATTCATGCCCTTCCAAGTCACATATTATAATCAGTTTCCCTCAGCAGACTAAAACAAAACCAAACAATATTACATTTTGTAATGTTAGAACTACCTCATCTAGCCAGCGACTGGTGGAGTTACAATATCTAAGCCTCTCTGAGAGTTTTCTACTCCATGGTCAATGGAATCAAGGTGATTTACTGAGTTCTAGGAAGACCCTCCTTAAGAAACACAGAAGGAAGCCTTACCTTGTATGCTCCAAGGAATGCTGAAAAAAGCTACTAGTCCCACAGAAAACAGCTATAAAATAGCCCTCCCAAATTTCTTTGGGCTCTCAATGTTTTAGGTACTATGACAGGGATAAAGCAAGCCCATGGCCAGCAGCATGTTACTGTATACAGAGCAAGTAGAGCAGGCAGCGAGTAAACAGGCAACCAAGGACTCCAAAATGCCACATGCAGTTGGTCTTTGTTCAGTCCAACACATACTTAATAGGACTTTTCAATAGATGTAAAAAAGAAAAAGGTTGTCTTAATGACTTAGGTTAAAATAGTCATCGATCCTCTTTTAAACCTTCTGTAATGTTTGTAAGAAAAGTTCTCTTTAAGTTGAACTTTTTTTGGGGAAAAAAGGAAGTCCCAATGAACAGTAACATCACTTAGCTTTGATTCTGGTTTACTGGAGTAAATACAGAATGAGTTAAAATAAAAGGAATTATTTATGGGCACATCTGAATTAATGTGCGAATAGCCCTCTTCTGCTGTGTCCTTTTTAGATGCTTCACAGTATGACTGTAAACCACTACCCCAAAAGTTATATAACTGTACTGTAAATATTTATTCATCTAGAATTATAAATAAGCCTTAATAATTTAATTATGCAGACTGGATCAATAATACAAACACCAAAAAGGGTGGTGGAGGGTCTGTATGTCTCTGAGACACAGCGCTGTGGCTAGAGGCAGATCTGGATTCTGCCTCTGCCCCTGCCTAGCGGCCTACTCCTGGGCAGGTTATTTCACTTCTCTATGCTTGAATTTCCTATTCTATGAAGTGGAGATAATGCAAAAAACAAAAACAAAAACAAAAACAAACAAAACCCTAAGAAAAGCAAAACCTCACTTCATAAGGCAGAAGTAGATTATTAGTTGTAAACTATTTATAATAATGTGGCACATTAAACACAAACGCAGAACAAATGTGTTACAAAGGGGTTTATGTCCTGTCAATTTATAGAAGTTAGAAAAGTTACAGTTTGGCTATTTCAAAGCATTCATATACGCAGCAGATATCACAGAGCCCAGAGGAGTTTCAGTTTAAAAAGCAAAGCCATTCTCATTGGGTTAGGGGGTGGGTGAGAGGGACAAAGCTTAAAAGCCAACCTATGGGAGACTGACTGGAAATCGAAGAGCTGGAATCAGAGCGCTTTATTTTACTCCCAGGATGGTGAACTAGAATAAAAAAAATACATAAACACAAAGAAACAGAGACAGAGCAGGAAATGCAGAAACTTGTCAAGAAACAGACAAAATGGCAGACAAAAGGGGAGCTCAGCTAACAAGAGAAAATAAAGGACAGAGTTGAAGAAGATTTAACAACTGGCATATTCTCCCCTGGTGGCAGGCCTCACCTGTAAACATAGGTTCCAGGACTCATGCTCAAAGTACACTTATGATTTTGCTCTCACCTGTGGACTGGTGTGCCAGCCATTTCCTGTTTCTTAGCCAGCCATGGTCTTGTGCAGGTAAGCATCTGTCTTAGAAGTGTCTAGCTTTCCTACATGTTAGGTATCCTGTTCCAGGGCCTCAACAATTCTTCACTGCATGGGAAGGGCCCAATCCCTCCCCAGGTGATAGTCACCAGAATTACAGGCAAAGGGGTGAAGCACTAAGAGGGAATTCAAAGGACTGCTTTTTAGGCCAGTAGCCATTTAACCTCCTAAACAAACATTCAGATGACATCAATAAATTGCCAACTCTCTAACTACTTCCTTGAGCCCTGTCTCCCCTGACAGCAATGACCACTCCAGAAATTCTAATCCAGCTAGTTGGGCCACGTCTGGGCACTTTAATAACAAAACAGAGGACAAACAGACCTACTATCAACACTTTCTGAAAGCATGAAATGGTATGAGTATACCAAGCATGTATTCATGGTTCCTTACCTCGACAGGGATCATTCTTCACTAAAAATTCATCCAAAGCCATCCATCCTCCACCAACTCGGACCATAACTGTGCTTCGCAGAATACGGACCAGCCGCAACTGCTGAGAATCCCCAAACTGTGGAATCAATGGGACATTTAATTAATAAATACACTTTAAAGTAGGCTTGTGCTCTCTCTATTCCAAAGCAGATTGTATTCAGATAGGAATGGTAATTTGATACTTAGGAAGAATTTTAAGTGCTATTTTGAATTGTTATGTCTTTTATAACTTTGCTTTAAACAAATACCAGGAAGGTAGACATACAATTTCCATGGAGATAAAGATAAATTTGGATGTTATCTTCTTCCCTCTCCAAAAAGGGGGGGGGGAGGGAAGAGAGAAAAAAATGTTAGCTCACTTTGATTCCTTCGAATTCTGGCCACATTAAAATCCTGTCTTTTTAAAAATACTATTTTTTTTCCCCATAAAGAAAAGGCGAACATCAGCTTCTGAATACAGTGTGCTCAAAAGCAAATACTATTCCAAGCCTCAAGAAAACCTTTGCAAAGCATCATTTTTATTATAAGTTTAGAAGGAAATTTGATCATGAGTGTTTATTTTCAGAAATAAATAAAGAAAAAAAAGAAATAAATAAAGAATATTGCAATTGTGATGTGACTAGCAGAAAAGTTTCTTTAGATATTTACACTAAAATTCAATTGAATAAATAAAGATTTTAATTTATCAAGCTGATTACAAATTGTATTCAATAATCATTTTAGGTTGTCAAAACATACATGGCTTTCTGATAATTATTTTCTCTTTTTTTACTTCCCAGCCTGTTCCTAACATTTGGAGTTTCTGATTATATAAATTTTGAAAGCATCCCAAAATGAATTAAGAGTCAACAAAAAAGAAGCATGCTGTGATCTCAAAGCAGAGTTAAGCATTTTGAGTGGAGAAATGGAATTCCTAATTAATTCCAGGTGAATGTTCCTAAGGGGTGGGGGAGGACTGATGAATCATTTAATTAGGTTTTTCAAAGTTAAAGAAGAGAATCAAAACTTTGAAACAAGGCTCAAAATTGGAAAATGCCAGAAAGGATAGTTGGAAAACAAAACTAATCTCCCTCAAAATCTGGACACTTGTGGCCATTCTCTGCTTTACCTGGCTACACTGACTCAAATGCACTAAATGTATAGGGAAAATTACTGGAAAAAAGACTGCCTCCCTCCCCAGCCCTTTATTTTGAAAATAAAGAGTTGTAAAGTTTTTATTCAAAGTGACAACAGCAATAGCTTGGTGTGGTAGTATAAAGAATGCTGATGTGGGAACCCCATGATATGCGAGAATAATGTCCTGTCCTGGGAAGGAAGCTGCCCTCTGGGCTCTGTGGAGTCTCTCTCTGAAGCTGTGCCCAATGAGTGAGGATGGAGGAAGACCCTCTTGGGAGAGGATTCTAGGAATAACTGAGGGTCCCACCAGACCCAAGCGCATCAGTGGTTTTCTCTTGGTGGGAGATGGGAGAATGGGATATGGGCTGAGAAGTGAATCACGTTATTCTTCGCTTATTCATCTATGTTTTGTAACTTACATGCTAGCCTTCTGAATTATTCCATTTATTTCATTCTTTTACTTTTTGTTAATACCTTACTAAAATTCTCTTAGAAAGATTTTTAACTTATTTTTGTTCAACTATAAAGAAAAGGAAATTTGTTTTAAGCCAGCAAGTAGAATAGCTGGGGATCCTGAGATCAGTGATGACTGGTTTAAGGGTGGTGATGGCCACTCTCAAAACTGGGATCTAAAAAAATATGGCAGAGCTGGTTGTTAGCAAAGACCTCAGGATAAATGTCCAGCAACAGTTATCAGGAACTCGAGTTCCTATAGTGGCCTTGACCATACTGTGTAACCAAAGGCACATGATCCTTGAGGTTTCAAGGTATCTCATGTATAAAATAACTACATTCTATTTCCAGCATTGGCACAAACGCATCCTATCTATGCCAATGGAGCAGTAGTGGAACCCCCTAGGGCCCACACATAGTCATTGGCAAACAGGCTTGATAAGGTAAGGCATTCTTTTTTTATTTATTGACAAGGAATTCTTATGCAATGATTTATTTTTTAGGTATGGTTTTGTTATTTTTTTTTTTTTTTACTATCCTGTTTTGTTCATTGTTGCAGAATATTCATGAAATTGTGATTACTAGAGAACTTGAAACATAGTATTAACCGAGCATCTCAAATCAGCCCTTAACAGTATTAATTTCATATCCCAGAGACAGATTTTACCCATGCAACTTCCTTCCATTAGAAGACATAGCCCTCAGAAAGATGTGAAAGGTTTAAAGTTACCAAGTGGAGTCCAAGATCCAATCTTTTTTTGGGGGGTAATCCATCAGATTTTGGTTGGCTGGTCTTAATTGGCAAGCTTCAGGCTACAACCGTTATGGTAACTACAGGCTCTGACTAACAATGGGCTTCTGTTTCAACAACGTGGTGGTAAGCTGGCTCTGGTATTATTTGTGCACCTCATTCTTTTAAAATATTTTCATTATTATTGCCCTTTATTATCAGTATTTTTATAAACCTGGTCTTTATTTGTTTTGGGAATTGGCAAGAGAATGAAAACGATCAGCAAATTAGGCAATGCAACACTGTCTGGAATACCTACTATAAAAAATTAGACAAAAAAAGACGCCCTCAAACCAAAATGAACAGCTATAAGCATGGTTCACCACAACTTGGATACACTGTCGGTAGGGGACTATCTGTATTAATATTAATAAAGTATTTAAACAGATTGAGTACCAAAGCAAGCCAAGACTTTTCCACTTAGTGTAGTTTATAAAACTTATGTTCACTGTCAAAAGACTTAAATCAGACTGTGCCATCTGTCCTGACTTCAAACAAAGACGATGAGACTCTTTAAGAGTAGAATGTTTGATACAGCCTCAATTTCTCCTTATCACTCCAGAGTATCACTGGTTTTTTCGTCTATTACTTTTTAAAGAAAAGTGTCACCTTCTATAAAAAAATGTGTTTATAAAATATTTCCCCCTTTGTAATCTAGTCATTTTGGCAGTTTCTCCACTTGGTAAGACAACCAGATGTGACCCAGGCATGCTTCCGACTAGTACATCCTCTCCCCACAGCAAAGAACAGGCAGCATTAAGTACACACACCATTTCCACTAAAAAAAGGATTTTGCAAGACACACTGTACCTGATTGCCGAGGAAGAACTATAGACAATAAGAGTAAAGGAGGGAATGGAGAGGGGGAGAGGGAGGAAAAAAAAACAAAACAAAAACACATTTTATCAAATTAACACTAAGGTACAAATATGTAGTCATATTACCAGTCTTCAAGCAGACTGACACACATTGACCATATTCTTACGGAGTTCCTGCGATAGGGATGTGGTTTTTACAAAGGAAAATCTACCTTTCTTACTAATTCTGTTCTCTTTAAGACAATTTAAAAACAAGCAAACACCACCCAGTAAGCAAGCATAAAATTACCTAGAGCTTTATTAACGAAATGGTTGGATTCAAGGCAGACCTAGGAAAATTCTCCCCAGCTACTATCAGCACGCTCTGGGTTTGGTGTACTTTGCAGACACTTTTGAAGTACTAATGGAATTTGGATTTTTCTCAGTACACATAACTGTGCAATCTGGCCTGGCCGTTTAAAGCCTCTTGGCAATCTGAGATCTTCCTTAGGAATTTAAAGAATCTTGACAGACTTTTGAATATATTTTAAGAAGCATATTTCAGATCCTTTCCACACCCTGACTATGGTCCCTAAAAAAGGGATAAAACATAAGAATAGCTGTGAGTTACAGCCACGTATATCATGGCTTTCCAGGGAAGAATGCTGAGTCTGGCATTTTCCTGGTGCATCTAGGTCCTATTTGTAGTCCAGCTCAGAGTACAGAGAGTGTCCTTTGGGCCCCAGATTATTTCTCGAGTCTTTTCCAAGTCTTAGAGCTCTTCGGGCTCCTAACTGGCATATGACGTATGGCTCTTTGGGGTGAATGGTCGGTCATTAACTAAAACTCTTATAATGAAAGTGCCTTTTCCTCCCTTAATACTTTGGCCGGCAAGGGAATAAAGAGAGGGCTTTAAATGTCTCCTATCTCACAACTTAAGAATAAGTTACTGACTAGCTTGACACGACACTAGCTTTCAGATGGAACTCTGTAGAGCACCAAGCACAGCCCAGCAAGACAGGACACCTGGCATTTGACACATCTCAAATCCCCTGGGCTCAGGTCTCAAGTATCAGTAGTTGGGAGGTGGAAGTATCCAATCTCCTGCTGGTTAAGTTGATTTCCCCTATAAAGACCACATAGGAGGACACAACCACCACAAAGGACTGGTATTCTCTTTCTTACCCGGTATTTATTCTCTCCAATCTGCTCAACTTGAAACCTCTTTGCACACTTGCACTGAGCCACTTGTCTTGTGACCTATTGGTTGTAAACAAGAAGTGTAAAAGGGAGAGCAAGACTTAATATTCAGAGAAACACAGATTTTACCATGTAAACAGAAGTTATTTGTGATCCATCTTGAGCCATTCCAGGCTTTTGACAAATGTATTTATCTTCAATTCCAAATAAATGTGGTAGAGCGTGTGCTTACCAGATAAATGTTGTTTGCACCAATGAGTTGGAACCAATTCAGAACTGACCCTTCACTGATTTTCAGAGGCAGTTAACTGCCTGGGAGGAGACTGTCCATCTTTCTCCCACAGAGCAGCTAGTAGACTTGAACAACGTGCCTTTAGTTGGTAGTGAAACTACTTACCCACTAGGTCACCAAAGCTATCAAATAAATGTTAGACTTATTAATTGAGGCAACTGAGGGAGAAAGAATATAAAAGAAATCCCCAAGTAACATAAAATTCATTCACTGGCAACATCTAATGTGTGCATGCATCAAATTAAAAAGACTATGAGCTAACTGAATTTCAACCTATGAGCCCGAGATTCCCTGGCAGGTGGTCCAGGTATGTTCTAGGGCCACAAGAAAGACCTGTCTGGCTGCCTCTCCCTCCTAGCACCTGTCATCAAAGAATCCTGGGATTTCTACATGTCACTGTAGAGCCTGAAGGAGCCCTGGTGGTACAGCAGTGAAATACTCACTGCTAACCAAAAGGCTAAGGCCTGAATCTATCCAATGGCTCTGTCAAAACAAGCCATGATGATGTGCTTCTGTAAAGATCGTAGTCAAGAAAATCCTATGAAGCAGCTGTACTCTATCACATGGGGTTGCTGTGGGTCTGAATCAATTTGATGGCATCCAACAACAAAAACAAGTGAAATAATTTTCTGTATTTGCTATGATGCTATATGCAATGTAATACATTTTTAACTAGGCAGAAAGCTCTGTGGGAATACATAAACCTAAACAACATTTTATGTTTCATTCCTCAAATGCTATGTATAAAGATCACTCTCTTGAATTGTGAGGTAATGGTAGTCTCTGGTTGTGCTGCAGTCCCAAAGGCATTTGATCTGAATTACCAGCTGCTCTGAGGGAAAAGGATGGGCAATCGCCTCCTGTGTGGTTTATTGCCTCTAAAAACCCACTGGAGGGTCATCTATAGGTTGATTCTGACTTGATGACAAAAAGCAGAAACAAGTCTTACAAAAGAGAGACTAGGCAGTTCTAAACAACAAGGTACCTGTGAAGCAAGATGAGTGTGAAACCCGCGAAAGGCTCTCTGTAAACATCACAGATCCGCACAGATGTGATACACCTGAGCAGGCAATCACTGGGGCTGAGCTCAAATCACCCCAAAGCAGATAACCATCAGACAGATAACCAACAGACAAGTCAAAATGTGATTATAGCAAATCGATCAGTCAAACCCAGGACAAGAATGCACTTGGGTTACAATTATTCAGCATACCTCATCTTCAATTTTATCTGCATCAGTTGTTGGTCGATAAGCATCCTTGTTGGGATGAAGAGCGGCCACAAATTCATAGTAATCAATGTAGCCGTCTCCATCTCGGTCAAAAATGTCAGCCACAGCAGTCATCTCTAACTTGGTGGTAGGAAACTCTATGAAAGGAATTTTATTTTGAAACATTAATACGAGAACTTATTGAATTGGTTATATAAATACACCCCTTTAAAAAAAAAAAACACCTACTTTATTGTGATTTTAACAAGTTTATGGAATTGTTGAATTTTCATTCATTCATTGTTGCACATTTTCCTCCCCTCTCCAGTTAACTTTTTTATTTATAATTTTTTTTGTTGCACATTTTCTTCCCTCCCTTCCGTCCTTCTCATATAAATACTTCTTTAAAGAATAAAAAAAAATGTGTATCTTATTTTTCTGAGACGCTAAGTATGCTTACTTAGAAAACTTGAAAGATGTAAAACATTATAAAGAAAACAAGAATCATTCATAATTCAGCATGCAGACAACTGTTCACTTTTGGTGTTCTAACTTGTTTTTAAAAAAGTTTTCTACATTAAGTACTACTGCAAGCCCACCAAAAAGCATAATATTATGGCCACTCGTAATCTCTATCATCCAACTTAATTTATTAAGCATAAACCAAATCTGTTTCTCAGCTGAGAATGTTTGGTGGCTGCCCACTGTCCCCACACTAGAATTTAGTCTCTTCATCGTGACCTATCAGGCCCTGTGCTATCTGGCTGCCAGCTACCCTTCCAGCTTCCTCTTGTTCCATTCTCCTCCTGTCTAGGTCATAAGACGCCGGCCATGTGAACCAATCCATTCCTAAAACAATCCAACCTCATTTCCATCCTTGTGCTTCTGTCCCTGCTGCTCCCCTCTCTCAGTATCTCTTCTTTATGATCGTCACATGACTGGATACTTCTAATTATCCAGGTCTCAGCTTAAATCTCATCTTCAAACAGAACTTCCCTGACCACTCCATGTAAAACAACACAGCTATGAGATGTACTTTGTGATCACTCACAACTTTATGCCTCAATTACTTCTTCTCTTATGAGACCATAAGCTTCATAAATTGTTACACAGATGTCAGAAGCTGACTATGAAAAACTAATTTTGAAACAATTTACTTAGAAACCCATCATTCACAAAAATTAGCTCCTTATCCATACATTAAAGAGGTTTGTTCACCATAAGGTGATAAGCAAGACCCTGTGGTGTCTCCCCCACTCCCCCATTTCCATGAAGATTTTTCTCCTTAACAAAATGATAAACCAACTTTAATAAGTAGATATTTTACTTCTTTCTCAAGATGACAGCTTTAACTTCAGAAAGACTAGTGAGCTAGAATACTGCTTGCTTCTACAAAGTGCATGCCAGAAATCTCAGGTTTGATTCATGTCGAGAATTCTGATTGGACTCACTGGATGCTAAAATGCCATCGATAAATTCCTGACGTGTTATCTTCCCATCTTGGTCCTTGTCAATCCGCCGGAAGAAATCCATTACGCGAGATTTCTTGTGATTCATCCAACGCATATACTTTTTCCTCCAGACATCAAAGTCAAAGTTGGCAAATTCTTTCAACTAAATAGAAATCACAGGAGTCAACAAGTGCTATTATTTGTAGCCCTCAAATGTACTCAGAGCACATGGAAGCTTTCAGACATTCAGTAAAGCCATGCAGGCCTTCCAAGGAGATGAGGGCACACCAACAATGTTATTTATGCATTGTCTCCCTTGGGAAGGCACAATGTGGCTCCCCTAAAGGAGGTTATTAAAGCCATGATTATATTACATAAGCCGTGGTATAATGGAGCAGCAGGAGAAACAGGACTGAATAACCACCATGGGAAATACAGGATATGTAGAACAAGAGGTGGAGCTGCCCTGTTTTCCCTTTGGACTCTGTCAAAGGGTCACCCTCTTAGATCTGAGGGAATGGATCCCTAAAGCAGGTCTTTAGCACCCATCACTTATGTTATTTTGAGAGGCATGATAACTATAGATAAGCCCACATCAAGAGGCTCATATTTCCCCTCATTTTCTACTGAGACTTCCATGAGATAATCAGAATTTGGGCCTTAGGAAACCAACCCTGAATCCAAGCATGTTTCTTTGGAACAGCACCAGAGGGAACAAACTGCCCATATAATTTCCATGTTAAATATCTGTCCTGAGAAAGAAAATAACCAGTGTGTGCAGTGAGCAAAGTGATTTTAAGTACTTGATTCAGTCAGTGATATGTGCTCAGAATAATGTAAACAGTGCAGCAGTTTCTCCCTAGTCTTTCAAACTCAAAAGTTGGAAAGAAAGGTGGAAAACAGAACAAAAACTCAAAACCAAATATGCTTGAAACTCCACTGACCTACATAAACAACAATAGAAAACACAGAACACTCACTTCCAGGCATAGCTGCTTTGATATGCACAAATAAAAAAAAACAAACAAAAGACATTAGAAGTTTATTTTGGAAACTCCCTCACTTTCATTGTTGCCGAGTCAGAACTGAGTTCTACCTGACCCGGCAGTGGGTTTCTGAAGCTGTAAATCACACAGGAGGAGATTGCCCCCATCCTTCTCCCATGAGCAGCTGGTAGAAATTGACCTGCCAGAAAGAAACCCCCTCTGGGTTGGCAGCTCAACTCTCTAGGACGACCCCATCAGCTCTCCCTAGGAAGCATAATGCTGTATTTTTAAACTGGGTCAGGATAGTTTAGGACGAACCCTGGTGGCTTGGTGGTGATTCAAACTCACCGGCTGCTTAGCAGGAGAAATGATGCAGCAGTCTGCCTCTGTAATGATATACAGCACAGGAAACCCTATGGGGTGAGTTCTGCTCTCCCCTACAGGGCTGCTAGTAAGTTGAAATCAACTTGACAGAGCAATAGGTTTCTAGGGATATTTTAAAAGAAATTTGCTTTCCATGACTTAGTGAAGCCTAATAATAGTAAGACCCTTATCTCCTAATTGTACAGCTTACTTACATCTTTAAATAAAGAATTAATAATAACCATTTTTGTAATAAGATATACAAACACAGAGAACATTTTAACGTTATTTTCCTGATCTCATTTGCAGCAAGGAGCTGTGAAGGATGGATTACAGGCTTGACTCTGTATGGCCTAGACGACTTTTTGCTTTCCATAACTACATGCTATGGCTGAACTCTACCACAGTAGTTTAAAAATTGTAATGGCTCAGTACTGGTCTGTTTCTATTTCTGAAGAAGTAGGTCAAAGCATACAGGCCTCAGAAGTGCTTTCTGATAAAAAGTCTCTTTTTTCCAGAGAAAGTCACTAGAGGGGCCATTACCTCCTCCAGTCTATCCAAGGCATCATTCAGCTTTCGCTGTCGCTCCAGTGCTAAAAGCCAGACCTGTTGCCAGCGGGCAGAGAGCTGGTTGATCCGTGGGTTTTTGGCTTCAGACTGGGAGAGAATTGGCATGGGAGGAGGTGCAGGCTGACTCAAGGGCTTCCCTAAAAGGAAAAAGAACCACATCAGAAAAAGAGTTTTCAGTCCATTACAGGAATAGTCATTACAAAGTATAAGCTTAGCTATTCCTTATAGTAACATCCAGCTGGGAATTAAGAGGCCCTGGTAGCACAGTGCATTAAGCACTAGGCTTTTAACTGAAAGGTCAGTGGTGTGAATTCATTAGCCATTCCGCAGGAGAAAGATGAGGCAGGGCTTTTTTAAAGATTTATAGTCTAGGAAAACACCACAGAGCAGTTTCGTTCTGTGCTATAGGGTTTTTATGAGCTAGAATTGACTCAATGGTAGCAGGTTTTAGTTTTTATTGATAAAAAGAAATACACAACCTGGCAATATTTAGGGTAGAAAACAAACTAATTCTAAAACTTTTCATTCCCTTCCCCAGGCAACGGCTTCCTACTACAATGTTACCCTACTCTGTTCCTTCCTTAACTGAGGAAATGTTAACTCAACTCAAAAGGCAATGGATTCTATAGGAACAGATTTAGTTTATAATTAAATTAATACAAGTCAAATGCAGGCAGCTTGCACTGAGGACCAAAACAATGGAAAGGTCCCAGCAAAAATGCACGTTTAGCCACTTCAAAATGTGGTGCTTGCTCAAGAAAAACAGAGGACTGGTACTAGCCATCAGTGTGAAAACGTGAGTTTTTTAAAAAAGACAGATTTTGGTTTCTATCTATTAATAATTTTTTTAAAGT